CGAATGACTTAACAAACGGACACCATTCAACAATAATGACTCGGAGAGAGAATACAACGGACTAACCCCGACATCAGAGAAGGTAGCTTTTGGCTTTGAACCTCTCCCAGTTAAAACCTATCGAGTTTATTGGTTGATCAGTGAATATGACATCTTGAACTGCTCTTCCGTTTATGTAAACTGAGACAATAGATCTCACACGGAATTACACCTACCACCATTCTGTTCTCACTAGTGTGCCCTGTATGGACCTGGGCACTAGCCTAGTTCAGCGAGTGGTTTCAAAGAATCTTGGCTTGCCCAATTCTTCTAGAAGTAGCCCCACTTCACACTCACATAGGTGACTCTACTTGAGTATCCTGCTATACTCAGCTCAACAGCTTAACACACTAGAGTCATTAAAACTCAGTTTAACCTTTACACTTACAAGTATCACTGATAAAAGGAATGGCTAGAGGTTTAACCTCCTCAGTGACATACCACCATTACACACAATTAGGTTGTCCCATTGAACCTAGATCTTGGGATCTCCAGTTAACTAGGTTGGGTTTCCATTCCGGTAACTTCCAAAGGCCTCAACCCCATTCCTTTTGACGACGTCTCGACTAATACTCAATTTAACCATTTGGTTAGCGGATCCGCAATGTTGTCCTTAGACTTTACATAGTCTATAGAGACAACTCTATTCGAGAGTAGTTGTCGTATGGAATTATGTCTACGACGGATATATCTAGACTTTCCATTACACATATTACTCCGTGCCCTACCAATTGCAGATTGACTATCACAATGAATACAAATAGCTAGCACAGGTTTAGACCAACATGGGATATCTTCAATGAAATGGTGAAACCATTCAGCTTCTTCCGTTGCTTTATCTAAAGTAATAAACTCTGAATCCATCGTTGATTTAGATATACACGCTTGCTTGGAAGATTTCCAAGACACGACTGCCCTACCAAGAGTGAACACATATCCACTAGTGGACTTTGAGTCCTTTATATCTGATATCCAATTCACGTCACTATAGCCTTCTAGCACCGCTGGATATCGAGTATAATGCAGCCCATAATCCCGAGTGTAGCGTAAATACCTTAACACCCACACAATGCCCTTCCAATGAGTAGCATCGGGATTACTTGTGTATTTATTAAGCCTGCTAACCAAGTAGGCTATATCCAACCTAGCACAACTTATTAGATACATTAAACTTCTAATTACCCGAGAATATTCTAACTGAGAGACATTGTCTTTGTTATTCTTGGTAAAATGTAGACTTATGTCTACAAGTGTCAGTGACACACTCGTATTTGATCCACTAGACTTCTCAAGTATCTTATCAACACAATGAGACTGAGAAAGTACAATTCCGCTAGATGTTCTGGTAATTTTAATTCCCAGAATAACATCTGCAATGCCCATAATCTTCATGTCAAACTTAGAATTTAACAACTTCTTGGTAGTTTTGATCATTTCACCATTACTACCTATAATGAGCATATCATTAACATATAGACACAAAATGACATAACCTCTGTCAGTGTCTTTGACATAAGCACACTTGTCATATTCGTTGATTCTAAACCCACTTGACAACATTACGTTGTCAAACTTCTCATGCCATTGTTTAGGCGCTTGCTTTAAACCATAAAATGATTTGACAACTTTACAGACTTTCTTGCACCCTGGAGCTAAAAACCCTTCAGGCTGCTCCATGTAGATTTCTTCATTCAAATCCCATTTAAGAAAATTGTCTTTATATCTATCTGGTGTATCTCCAGATTGTACAAAGCTGCTATCGCAATCACCATGCGAATGGATGTTATCCTAGTTACAGGTGAGTACGTAGCAAAGTAATCCAGTCCTTCTCGTTACATGTACTCTTTGATAACTAGCCTAGCCTTATACTTATCAATTTACCCATCGGCCTTTATCTTTCTTTTAAAAATCCACTTGTAGCCTCAAGGCTTACTACCTGGAGGTAAATCCACCAACTCCCAGGTGTTGTTCTGTAAGATGGAGTCAATCTCACTTTTGATCGCTTCTTTCCATAAAGGACTCTCAGGAGAAGTCATAGCTTCATGGTAAGTTTGAGGTTCGTTCTCAACTATATAAGTCAAGAAGTCTAGACCAAAAGACTTGGACATCCTAGCCTTTTTACTCCTTCTAGGCTCATCTAAAACCTCAATTTGATCATCAATATGATTATCATCACTAGCAAGCTGATCAACTTGCTCCAAAAACCTCGAAACCCCTTCTTGGGTTCGGCAAGGAAAAATGTCTTCAAAGAAACATGCATTCCTTGACTTCATGATGGTAAACCTGTGTATGTCTGAAATTTCAGACTTATGTACAAGAAACCGATATGCACTACTATTATGTGAATAACCAATGAATATACAATCCATGCATTTCAGGCATATCCTACCCCGTTTGGGTGTAGGTATCGCCACTATTGCAAGACATCCCCACATTCGTAAGAATTTATAAGAAGGCTTAACGCCTTTCCATAAATCATATGGGGTCTTGTCCACCTTCTTCGAGGTACTTTATTTAGAATGTAATTTGCGGAGAGAATTGTTTCCCCCCACATGTTCTGTGGCAATCTAGAACTTGTCAACATTGCATTCATCATTTCCTTTAGCGTCCTATTCTTACGCTCAGCAATCCTATTTGACAGAGGAGAATAAGGCGCCGTGGTTTAGTGGATAATCCTAAATTGAGCACAAATCTCAATAACCAGTGATTCATACTCACCACCACGATCACTTCTTAAAGCCTTAATCTTGCGGCATACTTGATTCTCAACTTCATTCTTATAAAAAACAAACTTGTCCATAGCCTCATCTTTGCTTTTGAGCAAATAGACATAACAATACTTAGTGCAATCATCAACAAAAGTGATGAAGTACTTATTGCCACCATGTGATTATATAAACTTTAAGTCACACACATCACTATGCACTAAGTCTAACGGTTCTGAACTTCTTTCAATAGAATAAAACGAAAATCTTGTCAACTTCGCTTCAACACAAGTTTCACACTTGTGTTTCGGATTAATCTTAAAAGATGGTATGTGATCTAACTTGATTAATCTACGTAAAGATTCAAAGTTCACATGTCCTAGTCTACCATGCCACAAATTGGAAGACTCAAGCATGTAAGCAGAAGAAGATGTACCTTTATTCATCTTTGGGATAATAGTCATCACATTGAGTTTAAACATACCTCCCAACATATAACCCTTACCCACATACACTTCGTTCTTGGTCAGAACGACCTTGTCGGACTCAAAAACCATGCACGACAACCTTTCCCTCTTACATCAAATCACACCAAGCCCATCCCGAGACGCATCACAATAGACGGTGTAACCCAAACCTCTCTCCAGAATGATTAACACCCGTGCCGTGGTCAATCTAGTTTTGAGTTCTTGGAAAGACTTTTCACAAGCCTCACTCTACACAAACTTAACTCCCTTTCTAGTCAACCTAGTCAAAGGTGCGGGTAGTCTAGAGAAGTCCCTCACAAAACGCCGATAGTACCCCGCCAATCCCAAGAAACTCCGGATCTCAAAGACATTTTTAGGTTGCTCCCAATCTTGTACAAAATCTATCTTCGAAGAATCTACAGTTACCCCTTCACTTGATACTATATGGCCCAAAAACTTCACCTCAGTGAGCCAAAACTCGCACTTGTCAAATTTAGCATTCAACTGATGTTTTCTAAGCAAGTCAAGCACCACTCTCAAGTGAGCCTCGTGTTCTTCCTTGGAGGTTGAATAGATTAGAATGTTGTCCACGAAGACGACCACAAAGTGATCCAAGAACTCCCTAAAAATTCGGTTCATCAAATCCATGAAACAAGTCGGTGCATTGGTTAACCCAAAGGGCATTACAAGGAACTCATAGTGGCCATAACGCGTACGAAAGGCCGTTTTCTGGATATCCTCCTCCCGGACTCTTAACTAATGGTATCCCGACCTCAAATCTATCTTCGAAAAGCAACAAGACCCTTGAAGTTGATCAAACAAGTCATCTATTCTGAGCAAAGGGTATTTGTTCTTAATGGTAACTCGATTCAACTTGCGGTAATCGATGCACAACCGCAACGACCCATCATTCTTCTTCGCAAAGAGAACCGGTGCTCCCCAAGGTGACGTACTAGGGTGAATGAAGCCCTTATCTAAAAGCTCTTGGAGTTGAATCTTCAACTCATACAACTCCGCAGGTGCAAATCTATACGGCGCCATAGAAATTGGTGCCGTTCCAGGCACTAAGTCAATGGTGAACTCAATCTCTTGGTGGGGTGGCAAACTAGTAAGGTCCTCAGAAAACACGTCCTGGTATTCACAAACTACCCTCAGTAACTCAACTCGAGTTCCGCCACTCTCATTGTCCAAAAGAGTAGCAAGAAGACCACTAAGCTCGTTCCTACTACGAGGATTAACCACTGGCGCTAAGACCCGATCAACCCGGTCTCCTAGAAAATAAAAACAATCACCACTCGAGGTGCACACTGTGACCCTCTGCCGAAAACAATTGATCATTGCCCGATACGAAGACAACCAATCCTTGCCTAGAATGACATCAAAACTCGACATGTCTAGCAACACAAAAGCAAACGGGAGTCTACGACTGGCAAACTCGATCTCACAATCAAAACACCCCCGGCCTAAGTCAATCGTACCCCCAACTGGTGACTCTACTCTGAGCGGATATGCTAACTGTGCCACCTCTAACCCCAATGCAGATGCGAATGCAGCAGATATGAATGAATGAGACGCACCCGTATCTAGGCCAAAGAATTACACACAATAAAAATACCTCTCACAACCGAGGATCTTGACAACTGCTCTGGCGTGGTAACAGCATACACGCGCCCCTGTGGCCTCTGATCAACCTGCTCATCCCTCAGAGCATAGGCCTACTGTACTGACTGAGCCGAGCGGCTCCTTGATTGGCTCAAGTGGTCTGAACTGAGTGAGTGTGCTGGTGACCCTAAGTCTGCCTTGACCCTGATGCGCCAGATGCGCCTCCCAACTGTGGACAAGCTCTCTTCGTATGCCCCGAATGACTGCACTGATAGCAAGTAGGCCCATGCCCTCTACTCTGAGACTGACTCTGAGATCGGTTAGGTGGTGGTGGCGACAACATCTGTTGTCCTCCTCCCTTCTGTGTACATGCAAAGGCCTTGTGACCTGGTTGGCAACATTTGAAGCAAGAAAACCCACTCGGCGCACCTCTTCCCGAGCCCGCACTAGGCAAGGGAAAAGTAGATCTAGATTGTTGTGGCTGGGATTGGGATGAAAATGTGCTCTTACTCTTCTTATTAGGCCTATAATCTCCATGCGATCCTTGGCCCTTAGACCTCGAATTCCAAAGTATCTCTTCCTCGGCCTCCACAATAATTTCCGCATGTACGGCCGCCTCCACAAGGCGATCATAATCCCGGATCATTTTCCCAGCCACCTTGAACAGAATCTTCATCCTCAACCTCTGCTCAAACTCAAAGCAACGGCGCTCCTCCGTCGCTACCAATTCCGGTGCAAACTGGGACAAGCTAGAAAAGGCCGCTTCAAACTCGGCCATGGACATATTTAGTTGCTTAAGATCCTTAAATTCCTGCCTCAATCTCTCCCTAGCCATGGGAGGCAAGTACTTGTCTTGGAAGACTACCACAAATGCCTCCCATGTTGGTTCTATTCGGCCCTTAGCATACTTCCACCGTTGGCCTGCGTCACCCTTGCAATAGTAGCTAGCAAGAGTCACCCTCAACTCACCATCCTCGATGTGAAGCATTTCGAAGGTCTTTACGGTTTGTTCAAGCCATTCGTCCGCTTTCTTTGGATCGACCGCCATGGAATTCATCCGGCTTGGCTCGCAAAAACTCCCTCGTGAGGAAGCTCGCCCTTGTCTCCGTAACATTCTCCCTTGCTTGAGTCTCCGCCCTAAGTATGTTCATGGACTCCCTCAAGGCCCCCGCCATCTCCCGAACTAGAGCCCCTATTGCGGCTTGGCCGGCTTGCCCTGGCACTTCCACTTGCCCCACTTGTTCGGCCATGTTAGCTTGGCCTAAACCCTCTTCTTGCACCGGTACCTCATGGACCGGTACCCCATACACACCCCAGCGGCCCCTTCCACGTCTTCCGCCTCTACCACCATGACTTTGAACCCTTCCTGACATCCTAAATAAGGAACAAAATAGATAATTTAGCACACAATCCCAAATGCGCTCGCAACTTGCCTCACACGTTAAACTATAAAAATTATATACATTCTAACACACAAACAATTCAATTCACTCCACATAAGCACGTAGTCACGTAAACACATACGAATTATCCTTTAGTGATGAGATTCATCCCATGAAAAATCAAGAATTCTTAGTAGAATGAGCATTGATCAAGTACCCTTCTAATAAGACCTCAAGGAATCTAATAGACGCAAATAACATCCAAAAGTCTAATCACATACCCACATAGTCATATAAGCATGCTATCACATAATCATAAAACCAAACATCTCCTAATCATGCGAAATGAACCCATTGTGGTATGACAACCACTTCCCGCGAGCCCTAAGTATTCAAACCCGGTAGCTCTGATACCAAGTTGTAACGCCCCGAAATAATTCAACATGAACTACCCACACTAATAAACATTCACGAAGACAATGACAATAGTCCCTCCATCTTCACATATTTAATGAATGAGTCTAATACAAAAGCTCCACATGCAGTATACATTCAACGAATAAAAGAACACATGAATCTATAGCATGTGAAGCACCTAGTCTCAAAACAATAAAATGTCCTTAAGAGCTTACATCTTCCAAGGCAATAGCCTGGTTACACAAAATGGTCTTTCGGACCCATACACGTTTAGCCCTTGGCTTTACAAAATTCACAACAAAACTAAGAGAGCTATTTACTCTTCCTAAAATATCCACACCCTCAATTCGGCGGGATCACCACATCTTTACCTGTACCAAAGCCCCATAGGGGTGAGCATGAAGCCCAGTAGAGAATTCTTACAAAGTATATACAGTTATGCCATTCTCAATAAAAATGCAAATGCCAATGCCATGCCATGCTCTTTTAAAGAAATTTCATTTCATGCTCTTCTTGAAGATTTTCATTTCTCAATAAAAAAAAACTTGCAATCTCAACACTTTTCAAAACTTCCAATTTCAATCAATAGGGGCGGTAAATACGACATTGGTAATCCCTAGGCTGGTGTCTACAAGTAGACTCTACGAGTACTACCAAACTGCCATTTTTACCGGTATTAACCAGAAGGCTCGACACCTATCCGCGAGGTTTTCTGATCTTTCGCCATGGACACTCAGGCCAACTTATCAAGTTCAACTACACCCCCTATCCGGACTTACCACGTATTTACCCCATTCACATTACCATAGTTCTCAGCTCAGTATAATCTTTCTCAAAGTAAATGTCTTTCAACACATATCAAGATGCATAATAATAATAATAATAACTCAATCGAAACATGATGCAATAATTACTATTCTCAATATCTCTACAACAATATCAATTAATCACATTTCTTATCTCTTCTTTTCAAAGCCATTTCACAACTTTCACATTCCATGGTACATAACCATTCACTATTTTCCAGCAACACATGTTCAAGCATTTAACAATATGCTACATTAACATCTTATGCCCCACATATCAAATAGATTTCCATTTTTACCAAACATGCTATGAGATTGACCCTCATTCATCCTTTTGACACAAAATGATAAGGATTTTCATAAGTATTTCCTTATTTTCCAAATCCCCAATTTCTAGGGTTTTTCATCAAGGCAAAACACTTCTCATTTCTTTGGTAAAACCCAATTAAAATCACATTTTTCTTAGGTTTATAAATGAACAACCATCAAGGAGTAATAAAGATTGAGTTTTGGAAAGCCACACTTAAAACTCTCTACCTTTTGAATCCAAATGAAAAATTAACACAAAACTTCAAGAAAAACCTTTAAATCATCAATAATGTAGCAAAACTTATATATATAACTCAAGAATGTCCCTACCTCAAGCTTAGAAGAGAAAATGAGCAAAAATGTTGAAACTCCAAAGTTATCAAAACCAACTTCTACTTGGATCAAAACGAAGCTCTTGACAAGCTCTACACTTAATCTCAAAGGAGCAAGGCAATGAGATGCTTCCAAGAGAGTAGATCTAAAGATCTTTGGGTAAAAAGTGATTTTGAGAGAGAGAGATGGTGTTTCACGGTTTAGAGGGAGAAAAGAGAAAAAAAAGTAAAGGAAAGGGTTAAGTGAGGACCTATTTATAGTACTAGGTCAAAAATAGAAATAAGCCCCAAAGTTAACCTAAAATATCTAGTCAAAATATCCCCATAAAGTAGGCTCAAACTGACAAAAAAATCTGGAAAAAAGTCGCAGGTGTCGACACCCAAGAAAAAAATCTAGAATACTAAGTTTGACTGCACTGCAGGTGTCGACCCTTCCCCAGACTGGTGTCGACACCAAAATGCAGTGAGCAACTTCAGAACAAGGGTCGACCTTTCCTCATATTGGTGTCAACCCTTGCGGCCAACAAAAAGAGAAGGTGTTGACACCACCAAGACCGGTGTCGACACCAAAATGCAACGAACAAATTCAGAACAAGGGTCGACCCTTCCCAGATTGGTGTCAACCCTTGTAGCCAACTAAAAGAGAAGGTGTCGACACCACCAAGACCGGTGTCGACCCCAGAACATGATTTTCAAGTTTCCAAACAACTTTTCAACGCCAACAAGCGTGAACGGGCAATCCCAACAAGTTTAAATTGATTTGTACTCCTCCAAAACTAAGATACAACAACACTAAAAATTCTCAAAATAAAATGAAGGATTCAAATGCATTTCCCAAAGCTTTGAAGGCCACAAGTGCTACAGTGTCTTAAACAATTCCTTGTGTCACAATCATTATGAAACTCTCAAAATCATATCACAGTAAATATATTCCTAGAATGTCATCAACTGAATTAGGCACCCAAATATATTTGGTCCAACCTATCACTCTAAAGCCAATATTTTTACTATTAGGAAACACAAATCTAGTGTTCAATAGTCTACTATTCAGAACTTCATAACATGGCCAGTAGTCTTATCACTAGGAATCACTAATTTCTCAACATATGGTTAGTAGACTTTCTACTACTAGGAGTCACAATGTTTTAACATGTGATCAATAGTCACTTTACTACTAGGAATCACAACGTCCTGACATAAGATCAATAGACTCTTTCATTACTAGGAATCATCATGTCTTGACATATGACCAGTAGCCTCTCCACTACTAGTAACCATCATGTCTTGACATGTGATCAGTAATCTGTTCACTACTAGGAACCACAATCTCATAACTGTGTAGCCAGTGGTCTAACACCTCCTAGCAACCACCAGTTTTCTATCTCTATGATCAGTGATCTTGTACTCACTAGGAGCCACCAATTTAAGAACATATTTGGAATTTAATAATCCAAAAATATATTCATCCACCTTAATGGGTTGTCTCATCTTTACTTTCAAGCAAAGTCACATAGCAATCATATATGCTATAAATAATACAAGGATACCATACTAATTGTCTCTGATTAATTTAGAAATATTTTCATGCAATCTTATGATGTCCTTTAATCATACTTGATCTCTCTAGATCTTCTTTTAAGAATCTCGCAAGGCTTAAGATTGTCAGATGGAACAACATTTCTGTTTGTCACCTCTTGAAGCCATTTTTGAAACATCAAAACAGAATTTCATTTTCTGTGTTTCCAGAAATTAAACTTAATACTAGAAAATCCCACAGTTAGAAATTTAATTCAAAACTAGTCTCATCGTTTAACCTAGAATCAAACATGGTCAGGAATGTTCCCAGGAAGACTGGAGGGGTCACATCGATCCCACTTAAAACCCAGTTAATCTTTTGACAAAACTTTCAAGAGCATGTTGACTCCTAATCCATAGGAAACAATTTTAGAATTAAGTTTTCCAGGGGATAAGCCAGGTTATAACAAACCGATTCCCAAGCAAATAAAATTTTCTGCCAGAATTATACGACTCATAAAAGTTAACCGGTAATCCTGGAACTGAGCCCATTATTTCTTAATAAAATTAGAAATATTTTAGCTAATGCTAAAATTTGGTTTCTTTTCTCAAAACCAAAACACTTTGGAAATAATCAGATTATAACCAAAGACTTTTTCCAAACTTGGTTTTTCAACACTTTGGGAATAAAATGATTAAACCCAAAGGTTTCCTCAAACCCCAAAGGTTTGAAACCAAATCCGTCTTAATTATCATTTCTGAACAAATAAGAATTTCTCTTTAGCCAAGGCTAAACACTTTGATTTCTATCACAGAAAACCAAACCAAGTTCCAAACTTGCAAGCAATTTAAAAATTGCTAACCAAATTACAAGCAATGTTAATAAAATAAAATAAAATAAAATTGCTATAACAATTACACGTATATAAAATACTTCTAACAAAACAAACAAATAAAACTTGCTACTACAAATTAGTAAACAAACCAACTAAATCTCAAGCAAAATATGCTTCAAATATTTAAATATAATAGCCAATCCATAAGGATTCTATTTAGTCCAAAAACCTTTCCACGCTTAGGTATTCCTATTCAACACAAAGGTTAGTAGTCCAAATATTTTTGTTTTTACATCCTAAATACTAATCATTTGGTTTTGTATTTGTTTTTCCATTCCCTTTCGCATAAGTATTCCTATAAAGAAAATTAGCAGAAAAACACAAGAAAATACAAACCAAACAATCTAAACAAAATGTAAATATAATAAATCAATTGAAACCATCTAGCCAA